TGGTTGGCCTGGGTCGCAAAGGTTTTTCGGCGTTTGGGGTTATCGAAATAGATCCACTTTTCATCGCCAGTCACAATTTGATGCAAAAATCTCTTTCTTTTTTGCCTGGCAAGCAGCATTTCTGAGATGGTTTTTCGCCTTTCGACGTCTCTTTCTTTCAGTTCATATGGCACTTCCTTCCTTGTATACCTTTCCCATGGCTTTTAAACGCTTGGAAATGGCTGCTTGAGTAACATCCAACGTTTCTGCAAGTTGATTTTGTGTTTGACATGGATCTTCATCCACCAATGTTTGCAGTTCTGTATCTTCGAATTTTTTTTGCTGGCTTGGACGTTTTTTTATCATTCGTGTCAAAATCACCAAGTTTGAATCGTTGAAACCATTCATTGCAAGCTGTTTTTGATAGAGCAAGTTCCCTATAAGCTTCAATAAGCATTCGATGAGATTCAGCAGCAATTTTCTTCAAATTGAAACAAAAGCAAAGCTTCGCGCAAATGATGCTTATTTGGTTGAAATTCAGACATTTTCTTCGCAGTAAAAAACTATGTTGTTGTCACAAACACAAACTTTTATATACTGAATATTATTGACAGATGTGAAAACTATAAATGATGCCTTGTTCAGCCATTACAGTTGACGATTGTCAAAGTTACAGCTATTTATTGCTAGAAAACGGGTTTCAAGTTATAGACCTAAGCCTTATAAATTATTATAATTTTTTAATAGTATTTAGAATCTTTTATCATAATATTTGATAGACCTAGCATTTTAGAGTTTACATTTTTTTTACTGCAATGCATTAGAATCTTATATTTTAAATAAAGAAATGATCTAGAATGTTAATCAGCTGATACTGAAAGGTTGATTATTATAAAGAAATGTTTTAAGTTTTTACATTAATTAAATAATTAATTAATTTCTTTTATTGCCAATATTTGATAACTATATAGATGTAATTATTAACGTAAAAATCATTGAATTAAATGTGATGAAACAAAAATTTTAAATTTTATCTTAATTAGTTATATTTTTTTATATTTGATATTTTTAAAAGGCTAAATATTGCGTATATGTAGCGCAATATTATGTTTTAATATCTTAAAAAATCGCATTTTAAAAATACGCAAATTGTTTCAGGCAAAAGTAAATCAACACATGAAGATCTTTCAAAACGAGAATGTAGACCTGAAGTGCAAATTGGAAGGTTTGAAATCCGTGGATGTTGAGAATAAGAAATTGAACGCAGTAGTGCAGTACAAAGACAAGGAATTGAAAACAATGCAGGAAATTCTACAAAAGGAGAAAGACGAGAAGATGGATATATTACATGATAAAGAGAGAATTATTCTACAGAAGGACGAGGAAAACAAGAAGCTACAAGAGGAGAATAATAGATTGCGAAAAGAGCTCTCAATAGCGACCGCGAAGTTGAAGAGTAACCAACGCGGTGCCGAGGAAAATTTGAAATATCGACTTGAACAAGAGAAAGATCTCCTTCGACTGGAACAGGATCAGGATCGCGGAGCCTATCAGCGGCTACTCAAGGAATATCACGATTTGGAACAACACGCAGAGATCTTGGAACAGAAGCTGGCGTCGCAGGGACTGCCTGGACACTCGCGCTCCTTGAGCAACGCTTCCAGCGGCAGTGGCCACATCGTGTCCACGGAGCTTCAGCAAGATGATCAAAATGTCGTAAGTCGAGAAAGATATAAATATTATTGAATAAATAAAAAATATTGTTCATATAGAAAAATTAAAAGTTCATTAAAAGATTCATGAAAGCAGTTGTAATTCTAATAGATTAGAAGTACAATTCTTATTTCTTGATTTCTTGTTGCAGGATTTCGGTTATGGTTCTGTCAGATCTACAGCCTCTTCATCGACACCTTACTCGCGAGTCGAAACGATAGACTGGAATCAACAGCAGTCGGATAGTCCACCGGATAGAGAAGTTCAGTCGAACAAGTCGCCCTCGGAAGTAAATGGACCCGCACACGCACCCGTGGACATTGGTCTTGTTCTGAAGCTACAACAGAAACTGAAGGATGTCGAGAAAGAGAAAGGCAGACTGATCAGGATGGTCGAAGATCTGGAGCGCGATAGTAATGAAGAGTCCAATAGAACACAAGATTCGTTCAGGGTAAATAAAAGATTTTTATGTATTTTTTTATATTTTCTATGTAATTTCTATAAATTTTTTTTGTGTTTGAGATCATTTGAAAATATTTGTGAAAATATCACCTGTCGATTTTTGTGCGACGTGAGTCATGCAAAGCTGAGTCACACAAGCAGATGATAAGTGCTTTTTATTCAGTTCACTGTACTCTGTTGTCTTATCGCTATTATCACTAGATCAATGACAAGACCGATACAATGTGATTTGCTTGCAGCTCCAAGAACTAGAAATGGAGAATGCGCAGCTTAAGAAAAATTTGAGCTCGTTGAGGAAGACCGTGTCGTCGGCCAGTCCATCGTCCGCGCAGAAAAATCTCATGAGTAATTTACTATTGCAATTTATTATTTATTTTCGGTATTTTATCTTAATAAGCACTGGCTATACTGATTTCAGCGTAAGTTAATCAAATTAAATATTTTTCAGCATGATATAGATAAACACAAACTATATTTCTAATTTTTCTTTTTTGCTTTTTATCCTGTGCTAAACTTCTCTGATTTTTATTTTATAGTTCTCTAAATACTGCTTTCAATTGCTGTCTTCAGTATTAGTTTTAATGTTAAGCCTCAGCAATTATAACTGATATTTATTATAGTATATTATATTCTGTGCTTCTTATATACAGGATGATTCAAAACAACCTGATGTCCTCGCAATACCATATTCTTGAGCGAATTCTGAGACGATTTTTCTTTTTACAAAATTTTGTCCGGAGCTTAGTTTTCGAGTTGTAATTGAAAAGAGTTTGCCACTTGCGAGTCCGATACAACGGGCTGGCAGGGACAGTGCAATGCGTCATGAGATGATAGTCAACACTTGACTCATTATACGTTGCATGTCCTTGCCTGCCCGTTGTAGCGGACTCGTAAGTTGCTACCTATTTTCAATTATAATTCGAAAACTGAGCTTCGGACAAAATTTTGTAAAAGGAAAAATCGTCTCATAATTCGCTCAAAAATATGACATTGCAAGGACATCAGGTTGTTTTGAATCACTCTGTTTATTGTTATAAAGTTATCGATTTTAATTATCAATGTTATCTAATCTGCACGATAATCTTTCCACATTTTTTAAATGCTAAAAAATATTTCAAACATGTGAAAATCTTAAATTTCATAAAAATTTGAGACATGAATATAACGGTACAAAAATTATACGATTAAAAAGTTATAATTTTGTGAGGTATTTTAGATTGATTATTTATTTTTATGTGATTGTATAATTAAATTCTTTTCCTTTTTTATTATATAAGCTGCTATTTTCTAAAATCACTAATGCTGAATAAATATGCATAAAATGAAAAGCACAATAGGAATAAGAGACACAGAATAACATTAATTCAATGGGATTGCAGTACAATTCGAGGCGTTGCAAGAAGAATTGGAAAGGAGAAGAGAGGAGTGCATTCAACTGCATAGCGTGCTGGCCGATCATACACGCAGGATGAAGAACTTAGGCTCCAATTATGGTCGCGACGTTGATATCATAAACGAGGATGGCGAATTGGTACTCGCCTTTGAAGCGCAGAAGAAGATTAATAGGTAATATGAATTAAAATGCTTAACGAGACAAGTGCTACTATCAACAAAGTGCCATGTTTAACAACAATCTTTTGTGCATGCACTTCGATTTTCAGTAAACTTAAGACAAAGGCACCGAATGGAGAGTGAGTTGAGCAGATTCACGTGCGATCTATTTAAATGTTGTTGAACTGTTCAATCAAAAAAAAAAAAATTTTTATACAATTTCATAAATGTCTTGATATCATAAATGTCTTGATTTCATAAATGTCTTGAAGCATCAAGCAGTTTGAATTCACTCATTAATAGAAGTAAAACATTAGATTACCAGTATTAGGAATTACGTCAGTTTTCCACAGATCCCTAATGATTCGTTCGTTCTGGTCATCATCTCTCCAATCATAGTTTGATCGTTTCATAACTGCATTAGTAATAGGCATGATGTTATGCTTAGTTTTATTGAACAATTAACTATCTCTCTCTCTCTCTCTTAAGATTGAACAATTCAAGAGATTTCTCGTGATTATCAATAAGTGAAAAACCTGGGTGTTTTGTTTCCAAGGCAACTTGAGGATGAGCTGCAGGCGAAAGAAAGAGGTTGGCGATCGCAGAGAGACGAATGGCGAAGCGAGATAGACAGACTGCAGGAAGAAATAGAGAAGCAACAGAAGCTACTTTCTATTAATTTGAGTAAATCACCGCAGACCCAGGCGGAACTTTACATGCAACACGAGGTTGCTAGGCTAGCATCCGAAAATTTGGTATACATATTTTTATTGCTAATGTAATTTTCGTAAAATTCAATAATTATTAGTACAAAAAGAAATGTATATATACGAATATCTGATGTATGTGTTATAGGATCTTCAAGAAAAGTATGATAAAATAGCAGAAGAATGTAGACGCTACAAAAAGCAATGCAGAATTCTGGCAAAACGATTGAAGGATGCTGGCTGTAAGTATAATAACTATTTAAAGAGAGACGTTAAGCAGTTAGAATCAGTTGGTTTAGTGTTATAAATTACTTTATCTTAACGCTTTCAAAGATGAAGGAGAGGAGCGTCCTTATGTACTAAGAGGCGCCGGTGAGTGCGTGGTCTTGTCAGGTGTCGTCAATCATCTCATTGAACTATTTGAAAAATAGTTTTATATAAAGAAACAAGTTTTTAATTAAAAAGAAATACAAATTATTTTATAAAATAGAGAGTTATATATATAAGTTAAAATATACAAACTTTTTGGATGGTTCGTTACATCACGCAGACCATAACTCACCATCGCTTACATGTTGTGTCAAGCACGTGGCACAGTTTGACGTTTCCAGAAAAAATTTCAAGAAGTGCGTGAAAATTGCGCAGAATATAAGAATATTCTATTTTGCAGTGCCCAACGCGGTGGAAAACACAAACGGCTCCACCGTTGTTTCCAGTACTTGCGATGATGGAAGTAATATGCCTGCCATTCGCAAGAAAGAAAGAGATTATGAGGGAATGTTTGAGTTTAGGAAAGAAGAGATCAACATAATTATACGTCACCTTGTTATTGGTGAGTTTTAAATACTGCTTCTTGTATCATGTAAGAAGAAGTCAAACTGAAGCAGCGAATATTATGAATATATTTATTGAAAATATCAAATTCATCGATTATTCTTCGAGTTTCTTGTATTATTTTCTAAATTCTCATATCCACGCATATCTTTTCGTTTATGTTTCAAATTAATTTTCTGTGTAGAATTTAATTTGAAATTTCTAAGACTTATAATAGTTAAATAATTTTAAGCAAAACACGAGATTTACAAATCTACACATATTTAATATACTTTTCAGAATTGAAACCCCGAATAGCGGTGACGTTGCTGCCGGGCTTACCTGCCTATATTATCTTCATGTGCATCAGACATACTGATTATATCAACGATGACGACAAGGTGCGGTCGCTGTTAACAGAGTACTTAAACGCTCTTAAGCGCGTGTTGAAGAAACGCGACGATTTCGACTCCAGAGTACTCTGGCTGAGCAACACCTTGCGGCTGTTGCACAACATGAAACAATACTCTGGCGACAAACCATTCCAAATTGAAAACACGCCTAGACAGAACGAGCAATGTCTAAGGAACTTCGATCTGAGCGAGTACCGCAATGTGTTGAGTAACACAGCACACTGGATCTTTAACAACCTTGTCACGAATCTCAAAGAGAGAATCCAGGCGCTGACGGTGCCGGCCTTGCTAGAGCACGAGGCCATAGCCGTTCCGACCGACAAGTCTGGGCGGCCCAGGTCGTCATCCATGGGCGGCGAACCAGACTCCACACAGCAGAAACTGGACAAACTCCTCGGCGAGCTGACGTCGGTGCACAAGACCTTGCAGTATCACGGCGTGGATCCCGAGGTCGTGATGCAACTCTTCAAACAACTGTTTTACTTCATGTGCGCCAGCGCTCTAAATAATCTACTGCTAAGGAACGAGCTCTGTCGATGGACGAAGGGCATGCAAATAAGGTAAGATTATATTTTTGATTTTGCTTTTATTTGCTACTTAAAAAAATAAATAATTTTATACGAATAATTGAGTCGCAAAAGTATATGAATAAAAGAAAAGCAGATAGAAATTTATGATTGCACAAATTCTTGATCCTCAAAATCAAGAATATTTTATAATTCCCCGCTTATTGACAACTCTGACATTATGTCCTTATTTATTATACATAAATCCGGTCAAATAATAAGATCCTTATTCGAATTGCTTTTCAACTACACGCGCGGTATATTTCTTAAAATTATAATATTCTGTTTATTATTTAAGGTACAATATGAGTCATTTGGAGCAATGGAGCAGAGATCGACGATTAGAAACCGCATCAGAAGCACTGCAGCCCATCATACAAGCGTCGCAGCTTCTACAAGCGCGTAAGACGGACGAAGATGTTAATTCCGTCTGCGAAATGTGCAACAAGCTGACGGCTAACCAAATTGTGAAAATCCTAAATCTATACACACCCGCCGACGACTATGAGAGTCGCGTTCCTGTTTCATTTATTAAGAAAGTGCAGGACAAGCTGAAGGAGCGCGGCGAGAACAACGAACAAGTAAGTTTCAAGATAAACGTCCAGAAAAACACTATAATTGAGAAAATTCTATGTACGTAACACGTGGACCTTTTATTTTCAGCTGTTAATGGATCTAAAGCATTCCTATGCTGTAAGATTTCCGTTCAATCCATCAGATATTAGACTGGAAGACATCGAGATACCTGAGGTGCTTCGTTTACCCATGCTCAAAAAGGTGTAATAATCTCGATCATGGTAATCCTGATCCCCGCTCCATTGTATCAATTTTTAGTTAAAAATATCACTCGCGAATAACTGAAACTCGCCTAGCCCACTTGTTCGTACGAAAGTTAGCGGTATCGAGAATTCGGCTAAGTTAGGCGTAGACGCATCGAGAACGACTCATGGATATCACGTTTTATATAAGTTTCTTTTTTACTCGGGTAATTTGTAGATTTCACAATACGTCCTTATTCCGAATCGCACTCGCATTCAAAGTCAATTCTGTTGCGTAGATGAGTGATCGGATCCCGGTAAGTGAGAGAGAAACGATATTTTCGTTATTGTTATTGTACAGTGTTGCACGTTGAAATATAAAGGAGGCCTGAATACGAAGTTCTTACAAGGATTTTATATTTGAGATGTTTTATATTAATTAATATCAGAGTATCACTAATTTTAGAAAAGTAATAAGTAAATATAGCATTTGCTATACGTTGAATCGTCCACTTTGAATGAATTCTCCAACATTTTAAGTTATCGATATATTTATTATGAACGATACTAAAGAACGAGACTGAAGAAATGTAGTTTTAGAGATGCTATACACATTTTCGAATGTATTTAATTAGTTTTTTAATCGAAAGTTGTGAGTTTTCAAAAATACAAGTTAATTAATCTGGGAATTACATTCTTGTTCAATAAAGCAATTTCCAGAATACTTCAGAATGTAATATAATATATGAAAACAGTAATAATGTAACTCTTACATCCTTGTAAGAATTTCGTAAATTGAAAACTTGTTGAAGATGTAATTAATATATAAAAAGGAAACGCGCGTGAAAGAAAAGATATAATGTTATATTGGAATAGATTGTATATTTTGTGATACGAGAGAAAAGGAGAGAGCTATTATAAAGTTGGGTCTGATAATCGGACCGATAAAAGAATGAGAAAAAAAATGATGGTGACCGAAAGAAATCGGAGTATATATTATTGTTACATTCTAATTTATAAATATGTACTACATGCAATTGTATTTTGTGCCATTTTACAAGTAGATCGTAACGACATCCATTTATTACTTCGTTTGGTCTGCCATTGGTTTCGTGCATTACGAACACATTTCACAAAATGGTGTCTAAAGAGAGAAAGAATCCCTTTTCTCAAGAATGTTATAGACAGAATATATTTACACAATACACACCTGACTCGATGTGACATATTTATTTGTTCCTATAGTGAAAATAAAGCCGTTTGTGACAGTTCTCATCAATTTCTAACGGGTTTTCTTGCGCGAAAAGCGACATTGAAGTAGTCTTTTCATTGTATAAGTTATGTAAAAAAATCATTAGCAAAAAATTAGTTTCTGATTGTAATAATTGCATGCTTTATGTGCAATAAAAGTTTTTAATAGGTTCTTCAAGAAGATGGGTACCAGAAAACAAATACATTTGGATCAGATATTAAGCAAATATTATTCGCATACTAGTATACAAAAATCAGATAACATTGTATTACAATATCTTTTTATTATGTTAATTATAAGATTATAATAAATGGATGAAAACCAATGTTTAATTCAAAATTGGATTTCTTACAAATTGTGAATGCATAGCATATAGAAGCGCAATATAAATAAGAATACTATTTTTAGATGCATTCGCATTTTTCATCAATTTGTTACCTTATATATTATATAATAAAAAGATATTGTTAGCAGTGCTGTCAGTACTCGGATAGGTGAGTATTACCCGGGTCAATACCGAGTATTCGAAATATAATAATTACGTACATGTATTGCATTGTTAATTTTGTATTATAAATGAGTTGTATTATAAATTTTTGTTATTTTTTACGTGTGATACAATTATATGCGGTAATTTTGTATTAACAATGCAACATATGTATGCAATTATTATATTTCGAATATCCAAGACAATCGAATACTCAGATCTAAATGACAGCACTAATTGTTAGCACAATAAAATGTAGAATTATATATAAATATTAATAAGCAAGTGTAGCTTGCTTACGACATGTCACCAATGTCGCTCGGTGAACGTATATCGTCGATTTTCAAGATCATCTTGACTAGCTGGGTAGCCAACATGATCTGTTGCGTCTTGCTCGTCAGGGTTTCCATGACGTTCTGCGCCATCATATCTGCAACAAAATTTTGGAATAATTTCAACATATGTACAAGAGATACGATATGTATTGAAATCGATACGTACTTGCTGTGCCTCGGTTTAGGCAGTCAATACCGAGAGTGGGATTCTTCTCGGACAATTGGCGAGCCTTGACTTCCGCTATTGTGTCAACTGAAGAAAGGCCGGTATTTTCTGCTAGCGCCATAGGGACGCTTTCCAATGCTTCGGCAAAAGCACGGAAGGCGTATTGTTCCAGTGTGCCGATTTTATCAGCTTGCGCCGTGCATTCCAACGCGCAGGATATTTCTGGCGCGCCTCCACCGTACAGGATCTTCTTATCCTTGACTACATTGCGCACGGTACACAATGCGTCATGGATCGATCGCTTTGCCTCCTCAATGATCTGTACAAATTAAAGTCACGCGTATTCCATTATATTGTAATAAACCTTTGGAATTACTTGAAGAACGTAAATGCGAATGTTGCATTGCAAAAGATTTAGTCCGATAAAAGAATCGAACAGTACTTATAATTGCAATGCACTATTATTGCAAGGTGTCTGGTCAGTTATGTACATTAAAAATACTACTGAAATTCTCCTTGCGCGGAAATTATTTTTATCATAATTATTGTTGTACCATTTTGTTGCCACCGCGGATGAAGATCGTCACGGCGCGAGAATTCTTGCATTCCTCGATGACCAACATTCGGTCTTTTGTTGTGCCGAACGTTAATTCCCTGACGACACCAGCATGACCAAGCTTCTCCGGCGTTAACTCTTCGAAGCGAGGTACAATGCGTCCACCGGTTGCAATGGCGATTAGCTGGGAAGAAAATTTAATTCCTTCATAAACATATCTCGGATATAAAACACACAATACATGGCAAATGCTTGTGATTTCTTCAGATCTCATAATCTTTGGGTCATTGGAGCCACCGCGAGAGCCAGATCATTGACTAGCCAATTTTGAAAATATATATTTCTATTTTCCTCGTGAGCCAATATACATTAACTTGCGAAAAAACTTACAATACCGCCAAAATTGAAACAAGCCAGTTCTCCGAACTCTCACACCTCCTCCAGCGCTTTTTTTCATCATTAGAAAAAGTAATAATAAAACAATAAAATTAAATAAAATTAATAAAAAATTGGATTGAAACAAAGTTATGAAAATAACACTCACTTCGATTTCTGGGCCGCCAACCCATCTCACAGCCGGTAAACTGTTCTGCAGCAGCAGATGATTGGCTTCATCGTCAAAGCCCCATTGACAAATAGCCAGTGTCGTACCGGCATCCTTTATCTGTTTTATCATTTCCGTGAACTTCTCACGTTCGTAATCACGCAACGCTCTGTAATCATCGACCGATGTGACGTCCAACTTATGCTTGGTTTTGGGTTTTGGTGGCTCGAACGGACACGTAAGGATCGCCAGTTTCACATCCTCTAACCTCTGTAATATTGTGCGCATAAAAATTTAGTAACACTAACATTTGTTCATCATGAAATAAAAATCTAACTTGGACCATTTTGTCAACTTTACCTTTGGCATTTGAGGATGGCTGAAGTCCTTATCTACGACGACACCGCGTACCAAAACAGTATCTTCTAATCTACCACCGACTTTTCCTTCTATTTTGATCAATTCAAAGTTAACATCGCGAGTCTCAGGATCCATAACAGCCAGTACAGCTTGTACAGCAATTTCAGCCATCTGTCTGTGATACTTGTTAACGCTGTAAAATAAATCAAATATATAAGTAAAAACGGATTGTGAACAGCGTTTTCGAAAAAAACAAAATTGTTTTATTACATTTTTGAACCAAGTGAGGTCATAGCAATATCAATGTAAGGCTCCAAATTTTCTGGGGTTCCTTCAAAATCATACGTTATTGTCTTCAGATGGTCTGTAGCGCATTCAGCTGCTAATTCAAAACCATCAGCTATTCTGATTGGATGAATTCCTTTATCCAAAAGTTGTTCAGCTTGTTCCAAAAGCGCACCAGCTAGTACAACTACTCCAGTAGTACCATCACCAATTTCATCATCTTGAGATTTTGATAATTGGACCATCAGTTTGGCAATTTCATGGTCTACATCCATATTCTTCAGAATTGTAGCACCGTCATTGGTAACAGTGATATCTCCATCAGAGCTTACCATCAATTTGTCTAATCCTTTCGGTCCCAAAGATGTTCTAAGGATATTGGCTACATTGCGTGCTGCCATAATATGTGACTGCAATCAAAGTATTTCTTATGTAAAAAACAATTTTAACTTCTTATATATATTTAATTATATATCTTGTTTTTCATTTAATATATAAAATTAAATTTATCGATTTTATATAGTAAATTAAATTTATAAACTTAAAAATTTTTTTTTGAAATTTAAGTTAAAATATATAAAATCTAAAATCTTTATATTTATACAAGTAAAATCAATAATTTTATAGCGTTAACTCTTAAAGTGAACACATGGATCATTCGTGTCCACACACACAAGCCGTTTCTAACTTATCGATTTTCGAAAGAACCAAAATTTAATTAATTTTTTTTAAAATTTTTTCTTAAACTTTATGGTATAAAATCTTACTTTAGATTTTAAAGAATATGTTAACATTTTTTCAGAATTTTCCAGAATTTTGATCTTTTAGTGAAAAAATTAGCCAAGTGACCCATGTATTCAGTATTGCAGTGCCAAAAAAACGTGTTTACTTTAAGTGTTAATTTTTGTTTCTCATGATTTCAACAGAAACTGGATTACCTTATATGGTCACAAAAGATCACAGGATTACAAATACTTACAGGTATTATCCGCTTAAAATATTTATAGACTTTTATTCAAATCTCTATCTATATTATTTAAACTAAAAAAACAAAATTTCGAGAAATGAAAGAAAACTTGTTTTACAGAATTTAGCTGGAATTTTTCCTCTATTCATTGTTAAACTCTTGAAGCCGCCATTACTATTCTCACGTGGTTGATTTTTAATCGCAAAATCATCGAAAATATATCAGCAGAAGCGTTGATGTACATTAATCGTGACACAAGATTTATGAAGCAATCACCAAGAAAAAACGGGAAATATGATTCGAAATCTTTCATAACGATCTTACCTTGATCGCTTCGTGGCCGACGAGGCGTTGCTGTTTTTCTTGATTGCGAAGGATGAGGAACGGCCGGCCGTACTCATCAAATGCCACCGTTCCAGGTATCGCCGTCATTTTGAGAATGTATGATCAAAACAAACTGTTAGATCAATTATTGTTTCAAATCAAATCTTCAGTTTTCATGCAGCTTCTCCAGAATGTTCCACCGTTGTATCGTTGTTCTAACCACTCCAAACAGAACTGAACGCTATGACGACCGGAACGGAAAGACGCAGGCGCGCTAAATTCGTAGACTCGAGTCAGCTTGAGCCAATGTATACGAATATCTAGATGTAATACTTGATGAAAAATTCGACTTGTAAGTTCTGGGCATTGATCATGTAATTTTTCCCTAGGAATGGAAACGTGAAAAGTGAAAACTTTTATGTGAATTCGACAATTCTATTCGTCGAATTCACATAAATTTTTACTTTTCACATTTCCGCTCCTAAGAAAAAATTACATAATCAAATCCCTGGAAGTTTTAATCAATGGTATCCAGTAAGAAGTGTTATTTTCTAGGGGCAAATAATTTTATACAAGAAAGTTCTGAACACGTGTTGAATAGAACAAGAATTGTATATACGTAGTTCTTCTAGCAATGCATTCGAAGGACTGCGCTCAGTTGACGCGCGATTGTCTTTGAGAGTGGTTATGTTCGGAATCGCACTATGCATTTTTTTAGCTGTCACCGCGTCGCCGTGCGCGGCAGAGGAGAATGGTTCAAGAAAGATACCTTTCACAAGAGAGAAAGTACGTAATACATAATGCAGCATCTCTCATTACGTGCTCCTCTGCAGAAGAGGAAAGTTTTCTCGTTGTTTTTACCACTTGTCATCGCTGTCTTTCTCTTTAACTTATTGTCACGCTTCACTGACGCTTTTGAGTGTCATTATTACATTACATAATTACAGTATTATCATACACCCGGCTCGTTGACAAACGAACAAATCGCTACGCTTTCCGGCCTTACGAACATTACTCACATGAACGAAGTCTTAGACAACATATGCGTGGTGAGGATCGTTGGAACTCCTGAGCACGCAAGAGTGAGAGAGGTAAGGAGCAAGTAGGACAAAGTATCGCATTCAATTTCCCCGTTACAGAATTCGAAGAACTGATAATTTTAATGAGCTTGACAATGAACGGGACAGTATTTCCTGAATAATATTAACAATTTTAAGTTAAGTAAAGTATTTTAAACAACAAAACAGAAGTAAACTGAAAAGTTCAGTATATTGATCATTTATTTATATGATTTTTTAAATTAGTAAAAAAAAGTTATACTAAAAGTTCAGTTAAGAAAAGTTAATATACATATTTTTAATTATGTTATGAATTTAAATACATTTGCATTATTTTTATAAAATTCATATATTTATATAGTTATAATACAAGTAAAGATTAAAAGTGAAACTAATTTTCAATTTAAAAGTAAAATATGACATTTATAATATAGTTGAACATAAACATTATTGGATAAGGAAAGACTTAAAAAAAACTTCTATTATGATAATAAAAAATGTAATGTTCAAATGTCAGTTATAATCTATGATGTCACATCTAATCTAAGAATAACGCAAAAATGTATATCTTTATTGCAGTATATCAAGACTTCAATAAAAGATCTGGGTTGGACGATAGAATCAGATGTATTCCATGCTAATACGCCTATATTTGGTTCATTAGAGTTTGAAAACATAATAGCAAAATTGAATCCTAATGCAAAGAGATATTTAGCCTTAGCTTGCCATTTTGATTCAAAGTATACGAGAGAGAGGAATTTTGTTGGAGCCACAGACAGTGCTGTACCATGCACTCAACTGATTAATCTAGCTACTGTTATGAATAGATACTTACCTAAACAAGTGAGTCATGTACAGAATATAAGATAGATAGACATTATAAGATAGATAACTTGGAATCTTCATTAAATCATGTTTACATTTTCCAGGGAGATGTCAGTTTAATGCTCATTTTCTTTGATGGAGAAGAAGCATTTGAAGAATGGGGTCCAAATGATTCTATTTATGGTGCCAAGCATTTAGCCAATAAATGGCATAATAATAAGACTGCTCATGGCATTGGAAATTATATTTCTGAATTGGATAGAATAGTATGTACTTTGCTACTTTAAAGATGGATATATTACAAGAAATATTGATATTTCATATATAGTGTCTTAATTTAAGAAATATGGTACTATAATATCAAAATTATGAATGTTGTATAATAACTATGATATTCATTATTTGTGTTACAGGATATGTTGGTCCTTCTTGATTTACTAGGTGCACCCGATCCAAATTTCTACAATTATTTTAGGAATACAGAGAAATGGTACTCTTTATTAGTTAGCATTGAAAAGAAATTAGCTCAGATGAGAAAATTGGAATCGTATTCACTTGGTAAGCCAGAACAAAGGTATTTCCAACCGTATTCATTCGAATCTCATATCGAAGACGATCACATTCCGTTTTTAAGAAAAGGTAAGTGATGAATTATTTGACATATGAAAATTATTTTATGCATTCCATCTATTGTAAATTCTGTTTTTTCAGATGTGCCAATCTTACATATAATACCAAGTCCTTTTCCACCCTTTTGGCATGAACCAGGCGACAATCGACACAATATCGATTTAACAACTACAGAAAATATTAACAAGATTCTCAGGATATTTGTATCTTTTTATTTACAATTATCGACTATTTAACAAAAAAAATTATCATAAAGCGGATCAATTGAAATAAATGTTGAAAAATGACCGAATGAACAGAAATCTCTAATGATATGTATATATACTATGCATATATGTCTATAACATTATAAAACATAATATATATATATCTATTGAAGTTATAAAATATGTTTTTAATTTTAAATAGCTGAAATGTTTGAAAAATATTTTTCGTAAAACTATCCACATACCTTTTGTCAATTTTACATTGCGTCAGTTTTGCTATATAAATTTTTCTTATTGAAAAATATATATTTGTATAACTGTATTATATGTACACGTTAATTTATTATAAAAATGCGGCTGTATAGTACTATAAATAAGGCAAATTGTATATTTGTATAAATAATTAACAGATTTAAAATTATATTTTGTATATATACTCTGTTTCGAGCATGCTCTGCAAAATATACGTTTTGTATCTACAAATTGTATCTACTAATTTCCTCATAAATTCTAAAAAAATTTATTTAATACATTTAAGTCTCTGTCTAGTGTATTTCTCCAATGCGATACAATTTATAATCGTGCGTATTTTTTTTTACAAATCAAATATTAAAGAGCAATTTTGGAGTCGCGAAATTGTCGTGCAGGAAATTGCGGAAACTCGACTGCGTGACGTCCTGCTACATGCTTGGAATAAATATAATGTAAGCGTGTGTTTTATATTCACACCAATGTATGAATAAGTATCTGATATAGTTAAAAGTAATTAGCACTTGTACGTCACATTGAAAATTTAATATTAATGAAACACTGAATGTTATATATTTTATCTTAACACATTATTTCAGAGTGCTTGAAACAATTTTTATTACGATAATATGACATCATCATGATAAAAAGATATATGCATTTGCATTCTTTGTCTTATAAAAAGTTCCTCCGAATGTCATACATCGAATACCTTTTATCGCTTGTACGTGATGATTAATCATTGAAACATCGAAACATGGAGCGTTAGTAGATAAATGTCACGCAGTGACCATAAGTGAAGAGAATCAAAATAATTGTACGATTTCGTTAGCCACGGTTGGTAGTGGCGACTAGCGGCTCGAGGTCATTGTTCGTTCGGGCGCGCCCGCCGAGTGTTGTGCACTCGAGCGATGCCGAGCAGCGGCCGAGTGTAGCCGAACGTACGCGGCTCGAACTTCGGGCGAACTGGTAGGAAAAGCCGACGTGACACGACGTCGAGAGACGCGACGGCAAACGACGTGGAGTGATCGCGCGTCTCCGTGTGCTCGTGCGTTTTTCGATGGTTTTGTGTTTCATTGTGCATCGCACATCTCACACGGCGCTGCGAAGAATTTCGCGCCACCATCGTACCCGGATCGTCGTACTGACGCGCGATCCAGCGTCCCGTACCGAGATACTCCGGTGAGCGGAGTGTATTCGTAAGCGGTGATACGGTGAAGCGGCTGCCTGACACATCGCGATCTCTCGAGCGTATCGAGTCGCCGTGGGTGAAAGAGCGAAAGGAAGAGCGAGAGCGACTGCGACGGCAGTGTGGAATAGGAAAGGTGATACGGGAGGATTCGCCGCGACGTGAAGGAGACACAAGGGACCACTGACGTGTGCGGGCGGTGTATCGAAAAGAGAAAGAGAGAAAGCGCGCGCGCGCGCTACCAAGAAATACAGCGTACCAATCGAATAAATAACGGCGGCAGCGTAACCGCGCGGCCACCGGCATTCAACGACGTTCATTCAAGAATGCATTAATTACACGCGGTCGACAGTTAACCAACCGTGCGTTGTGGGTCTTGTCCCTGTGACGTGTTTGCGGAGGGATTCTCGAGAGAGAAGAGAGAGAGAGAGAGAAAGAAAGAGAGCGTATACAACGGCCGAGCCGGGCTAACGGCAAGTCGTGATGCTGAAGTTCATTAGGGGGAAGGGCCAGCAGCCTACGGCCGAGCGGCAGAGGTTGCAGAAGGACCTCTTCGCTTTTCGAAAGGTAAGAAAGAAAGCGAGAGTGAGAGGTAAAGAAGAGAGAGAGAGAGAGAGAGAGAGAGAGAGAGAGAGAGAGAGAGAGAGAGAGAGAGAGAGAAGTACGACGACGACGTACG